TGAAATTTTCGTAATATAGAGTTTTGATATCAAATATGAGTTTACTTAGTATAGCAGAAAAGGTTTTATTTAAGAAAGCGTACTTTATTTAGCAAGTACTTTTTCATTTGACATTACACAGCACATGTGGTCGGATATTTTTTGTAGGGGAGTGTATATGTGGCACTGCCACATTCAACATCATTAAAATCACTTAATTTCATTCACAAGACAGAAAATAATAGTTGATGTGAAAAAGTAAAGAAATAATTGTTAATTGTATTTCAAGAATAGTGGTTTTTTAAAAAAGAATAATTAACAATCTAGATAGATGGTGATAACTACTAATAAACAAGGATCAATGAATTAAAATGGAGGAACAGCAATAATGGTAAGTGAAAGAAATTACTATTTCAAATAGATGCTAAAAAATTACAGGCTGAGGCAAAGAGGAATTTTAGAAATAGAAGCTGAAGAGGTTCTAGAATTTCAGTTCAATAAAAGAACAATTTTAAATAAAAATAATTACGTGTTTCAATGTTTTATAGTGCAAGTCACTTAGTCCCACAACTTTTCTGCGCCACACCGCCAATTTTGGGAAAAATTCCCAATCAAAAATGCAAAAAAAATTTTATGGTCACATGATTTTTGTTTGTTGTAAAATTCTTTTTTGATTCATGTCTGGGAAATTCACGTGATAAAAGATCAGCAATATAAAAAAAAATTTTTATTTTTATTTTCTTTCAATTCGCCTATTTTTGATATTAACTTTTTTGTGTGTAACACGCCATTTCAGGGCTAAAACATAGTAAATTCGGTAAACTTGTGCAACTTTGAAGCTCAAATTCTCCACAACAACATGACATACCAATGAGATGAAATCGTGATTTTGCAGAGGAAGGTCTTGGCTTCAAATACACGATTTATTTTTTGGGTGTTGCATTTCCATTTTTAGAGAATTTGAAAATCTACACGACCAATAAAAAGTTGTGGGACTAAGTGATTTGCACTGTATGAGTTTGAAAATTTTTATTTATGAATTTTAGTTATTGATTTGAAAATATTTTCATTTATGTTGTTATTACTAAAATTTTAAAATTTTGTAATTATTATTAACATTACTAAAGTAAAAATTAAAATTAAAATTAAAAGATTACATAATTGTAATTGTAGGTTTGTAGGCAATAATGAATGAACATTAAAAAATCTATTTACATATCTTCATTTTCTTCCTGCATAAAGAAATTAATATTCCAATTTTAGAAAAATAATTTTTGATTTTTTTCAAATTAATTGATCCAAATGTTACTCAATTTACTAATGATTAATTTCCTCCTGAAGTTGCTATTGTTTAGATCTGTGTTTGATGATCCATGGATGCTTTAAAACTTCTTTCAATGATAATCATTCATCAGGATTTTTTTTAAGTAACTATTTCATTTTTTTAATTTTTATACAATATCTTCATTTTCTTCCTGCATAAAGAAATTAATATTCCAATTTTAGAAAAATAATTTTTGATTTTTTTCAAATTAATTGATCCAAATGTTACTCAATTTACTAATGATTAATTTCCTCCTGAAGTTGCTATTGTTTAGATCTGTGTTTGATGATCCATGGATGCTTTAAAACTTCTTTCAATGATAATCATTCATCAGGATTTTTTTTAAGTAACTATTTCATTTTTTTAATTTTTATACATGATGGAAATGTTATTATTTTAGAGAGAAAAATAAATCATTTTGTAAGCATTGAAAAATAGTTACCAATCCAATTAAATTGTTTCCATCTTCTGATATGTCATGCTTTGAAGTGGTACCAATCAATAGTTCATGGCATAGCACGCCAAGTGACCATATGTCAACCTTATTATTAGAAACCCTACCTTCTGGTGGAAGGTAATCTAACTTACCACAAAATGTTTTACGGCTTTATTGGGTGGGTATTAGATATAATCATAATAAATGATTGGATATTATATAAATACAATAAATATTATATCATAATAATTAAAATCTACCTTTTTTTAAAGCCACCAAAACCATTTATTTTTATTTTGTTATTATGGTCCAATGAAAGATTTTCAGGTTTAATATCTTGATGAATTATATTTTTATGATTAAGGTAGGTCAAAGCATTGGCTATCTGTGCAATATACTATTAATTCACAACAAATATATTGATCTAATCAATATCATCATCAAGAAAATATATATATTGCATTTACAAACCCTTGATGCATGCATTTCAGTAAGTCTGGTACATTTTTTAAGATAACTATGAAGTTCTCCATCAGCGGCATATTCAAGAATCAAGAATACATGATTTTCATCATGGAAATGTCTAGGGTTTGTATTCATGGATACCATGAATACTGTTAAGGGGTTACACACTAATAAATCAGCAAAGAATCCCTTAAAAACACTTGATTTTAATAGTGTGTAACCCTGTGTGACCTCCTTACGGTATCCGTGAATACAAACCCTAGAAATGTCCATATAAACGAATAATATTTGGGTGCTTATAATTATAAAATTAATTATTTATATGAATACCAATCAATATATTATATTTCAATATATACAAATATCTACCTTAGGTTGTCCCAGTGTTGGCAATTTTCAAGGTCATTTGCTATTTTTTTAAATGACCTAGGTCATTTCATATATGTAACTTATATTAAAATCATCACATGATTTGGTTATTTCAAAGTCATTTTGAGGTCATTTGCCAACACTGGGTTGCCCTGTATTTCAACCACACTTGATATAGTGCAAGACACCTAGTCCTACAACTTTTTATTGGCCTTGTAGATCCTTCTCTAACTCCAAAAATGGAAATGTAACACCAAAAAATAAGCCGTAATT